CGTCACGTGATCACGCTACGTCACGTGATCACGCTACGTCACGTGATAACGCTACGTCACGTGATAACGCTACGTCACGTGATAACGCTACGTCACGTGATCACGCTACGTCACGTGATAACGCTACGTCACGTGATCACGCTACGTCACGTGATAACGCTACGTCACGTGATCACGCTACGTCACGTGATCCAACAAACGGTGTTATATCAGAATCAGTGACTGATTCCTCAACATATGACGCTTTAATGGAAGTAAGATTGGGGGCTACAAGTTCCGGTGTTATACCAGCTGAAGATACACGCTATCAAATAGAAAACTCAAATTCTGCACGATCGAGACGCTCATCAGGCGTATCCGATACGAATCAGAGCTTTTTATCTAACGTCTCCTCAGTTTCAAGTGGAGTTATAACGACACTACGGGGTGTCATGGAGACCCAACGTGAGACTCCGGGGCCACGTGATCATAACCAGGAAGACATGTATACTGAAGAAAATATATACGAGGATCCCGAGATATATGCCCGTCAAGTATGATTGATATTGTAATATATTGATATAATTAGTTGATTGAGATTAAATTATGTTATGCCTTTAATGTTATAGCTATAGCATACCTAGGGCAGAAGACACCGTGCCTGTAGGATAGCAGTCATTTTTGGCAATGTGGCATTTGATGTTATGCCAATAAGTACAGGGTAGTTTAATATGCTGCACTTGTAGATTTGGTGCCTGAAAGTCCCACTACTCCATTAGAAACAGTGCTCTTATTTGTCTGTAATTAGTACGTGGTGTATTTAAATCAACCCCTTTGCTCAGTTACTCGAGTAGTTTTACTGTAAATGTCAATTAATCGTAAATACGTACGTGGTTAAATTTAATATTCGGGCAAAATTGCCCCAGACAACTTATATTTTTATATAAAGACTGTTATTTAGTCTAGTTAGTAGTTATATGCAACCACGGAACATGCACTAAATTAACACCTCGGTCATTCTGTAAAAGCAAAAAGTGTAGCTTCACTCATGACGATCATGACGCATTTCCAAAAGCCAGTTTGGCTCTGTAATAAGGATAACTAGCTAACCGGGATAACGGGATATTATGAATATTGTGCGTTGTATTGTATTGCTTGCGGAGTTGTGCTATACTCATGATCTCAAAGTATTAGTTATAGTATTGCTTGCGGAGTGTTAGTGTTGCTGTAGTGCACTGGATAGCGGTTCATCCCACGCCGCGTCTAGTTGACCGATCCAGCTTTGTTTATATCGTAGTTTATACCGTAGTGTGTCAGTATTATGGATAATTTGCTTATATTATAAAGTCTCGTTGTAATATGTGACATAGTAACCAGTAGGTCTAAATCTTAAAGTTAATACGATTAGAGTAAGCTGAGATTTCTCGGTTTTTTTAAAATCTAGATATTTATTCATGGCAGTTATACTTAGACACTCTGGAATTAGAGTCAATAAGTCTAGTTCAACGTCTACAATTATCGTCTCGATCCTATATACTTATAGTTGTAGATTATAATGTACTATACGTATTTGTAGCTGAGGAAAAAGCGTACGTGCGCGACCGGGAGGCCACAGGTATATAATGAGTATGACTGCAATTTCAGACGTTGTCAAAATTTATCGGCCATTTCGGGATTTTGCTCTATTTTTTGCAATTATTTTTTCATATCAACAACAGTTTTGTTTGTTCCTAATTTTACCAATAATGCCAATAACCACGAAATAAATTAGTGCCGCAAATAACTTAAATCTTGGCTTTGTGCCATGCATTTTAGTGACTAAAAGAATTACACAATTACAATCTGCATCACCATCACAATTCCATATATCAATAAGTTGATTGATCACTTGACATCTTAATTTTTGAGATAATCAATGAAAAGAGCAAAATGAATTTACTTTAATTAAATGGGAAACTTGTCAGCAAGAACAGGATACACCAAGGCTATAAAAAACTTTTGAATCGGTATTTAACCGGCCGTTGCATCGTTAATTTTAGCTCAAGTATTAGTGCTGCTTATTTTCTTGCGCTAATTTATCGTCACTTCATTTACCACTTTTCCAGTATGTACGAGAATTCATTTGTTCATCGGCATCGCTTTTGTCGGTTTTTTTGGTTCTATCATTGCCTGTTCTTGGTCTCGTACATTATCTCTACTTTGCAATATATTTTTGTAAAACTTGTAACACCTTAAAAACGTGTAAACTTGTAAAACTTTAAAAATGTGACTTCCTCAAGCTTTTCCAGGATACAGGCTATAAATCGATTACTAATTTTGCCTATAAAAATTGTACTACTTTCTCTCTTGACTGGCTGCATGTGCAATGCAGCTACTGCACACCTTTCAGTCGGGTAATGAAACAAATTAAATATATGCACAATTTCTCGTCTTCCAATCCACTTTATTTGGTGTTTTGCCGGCTAAGTATGTCACTGTCTACTCTTGACAACATTTTCACGGTAGTGTCAAAATTGTAGCCAGAAATGATATTTGTGGTTTGGAAATGCACGCCTTGGCCGGCTTATTTGCTTTATGGTTATTGGTTCGGTTGCAAAGCTTAACATTACCGTCAGATTGACTGACTCTTTAACAATTTCATCGCTTCCAACCTAATTCACACTTTCATGGGTGTTTCCAGCTCAATTATATATGGACACAGTAAACAGTTGGATTAACAGTTGGATTATAACAGTCTGCCATGTATTATATGCAACATTTACAGTTTAATAATAATAATATGACGAAATTGTACACACAACTCACCCGCACGCCTATTAAACCAGTCAGTCTATTTATATATTTTAACTACTTTAACTTATAGCCATTATGTATATCTTACAGATTATATTGGAACCCGTTCTTTCAATTTGTCGTAGTTCGTCCTTGACCTTTGCCAGTAGTACTAGTAGTCATGCCAACATCGACCACACTAGGGCCGGCAAAATCAGGGGCGAAATTCAATATAATTGGTTGTTTGGTTACTGAACGGCGCCAGCCTCTTCCCCCGTTTAATCTTCCATCGTCTTTGTTGTTTAGCAACAAAGCCGTCCTCCGCTAACTGTGTTTGCCGTTTGGACGATCATAATTCTAATTCTAATGACAAAAGTGTCTTTACCGTGCCTTAATCGTGCCTTAAGTAACGCTTAGAAGTGTGCCAACCTTGCGTTAACCTTACGTTAATTGTTCATCGACAGATTATCAATTCTTCAACATAACCTAGTTAGTAGTTAACCTAAACCAAGGGGTTAAAATGTTGAGGGGGACATTCCCGTCCCAGTACTGTTCCTAAATGATTTCTTTTATTGTTGTGTTAAGAAAACCTTAGGTGCTTTCGGTTTAGATTCAGGTCAACTTTAAACCATTGTTTGTTTTGCTGACTGTTACTGTTAGCATCACAAATCTGCACAATATGATGAACTGCAGGTCAGGATAATTATATAGGTTCATTACATTAAATCGTTCTAACCCCGACTTAATAAGCCATGCTCACCATACCACACGTACCATGATGTTAAATTCAAGAAAACAACCGTTTAGCTCATAGTTATACCATACTATTGCTTCACACCAGGGCATATATTAGACTGAGACATTCATGACTGTACACACATTATAATAGAACTATAGGAGCCAAAACTAACCGGACGTAGTGGCATCTCTAATGTCAGTGATAATTTGCAAAGTGAGCGCCCATTTTCTAACCCCAGTACAAGTCACAATGTAATAACCCAGTGCGGGTTTCATGGGAGAGTAGGCATGGTTCCTTATAACATAGCTCTCACTGGGAAACCACCAGCCAGTATTTCTAGAGTAGTTATATAAAGTTATAATATCAGCTCTCACTGGGAAACCACCAGCCAGTATTTCTAGAGTAGTTATATAAAGTTATATTATCAGCTCTCACTGTGAAACCACCAGCCAGTATTTCTAGAGTAGTTATATAAAGTTATATTATCAGCTCTCACTGTGAAACCACCAGCCAGTATTTCTAGAGTAGTTATATAAAGTTATATTATCAGCTCTCACTGGGAAACCACCAGCCAGTATTTCTAGAGTAGTTATATAAAGTTATATTATCAGCTCTCACTGGGAAACCACCAGCCAGTATTTCTAGAGTAGTTATATAAAGTTATATTATCAGCTCTCACTGGGAAACCACCAGCCAGTATTTCTAGAGTAGTTATATAAAGTTATATTATCAGCTCTCACTGTGAAACCACCAGCCAGTATTTCTAGAGTAGTTATATAAAGTTATATTATCAGCTCTCACTGTGAAACCACCAGCCAGTATTTCTAGAGTAGTTATATAAAGTTATATTATCAGCTCTCACTGTGAAACCACCAGCCAGTATTTCTAGAGTAGTTATATAAAGTTATATTATCAGCTCTCACTGGGAAACCACCAGCCAGTATTTCTAGAGTAGTTATATAAAGTTATATTATCAGCTCTCACTGGGAAACCACCAGCCAGTATTTCTAGAGTAGTTATATAAAGTTATATTATCAGCTCTCACTGGGAAACCACCAGCCAGTATTTCTAGAGTAGTTATATAAAGTTATATTATCAGCTCTCACTGTGAAACCACCAGCCAGTATTTCTAGAGTAGTTATATAAAGTTATATTATCAGCTCTCACTGGGAAACCACCAGCCAGTATTTCTAGAGTAGTTATATAAAGTTATATTATCAGCTCTCACTGGGAAACCACCAGCCAGTATTTCTAGAGTAGTTATATAAAGTTATATTATCAGCTCTCACTGGGAAACCACCAGCCAGTATTTCTAGAGTAGTTATATAAAGTTATATTATCAGCTCTCACTGGGAAACCACCAGCCAGTATTTCTAGAGTAGTTATATAAAGTTATATTATCAGCTCTCACTGGGAAACCACCAGCCAGTATAATTCTTCGTGTGGGATGCTTATTGCTTGTTTATAGTTTTGTACGCAGAATAACTGGATTGCTGGTGTTACCTCGACTTTATTTACTTCTAGTGCAATGATTAGTGCTGCTGTTAATGGTGCTGGCAGGCCTAGTGCTTCTAGGACTGCCGGGATTGATTTCTTCAACAACCTAGGGAGACACGGTAAGTCTAATATTAGCGTCATTATTTCACGTCTCTTAGGGAGACACGGTAAGTCTAATATTAGCGTCATTATTTCACGTCTCTTAGGGAGACACGGTAAGTCTAATATTAGCGTCATTATTTCACGTCTCTTAGGGAGACACGGTAAGTCTAATATTAGCGTCATTATTTCACGTCTCTTAGGGAGACACGGTAAGTCTAATATTAGCGTCATTATTTCACGTCTCTTAGGGAGACACGGTAAGTCTAATATTAGCGTCATTATTTCACGTCTCTTAGGGAGACACGGTAAGTCTAATATTAGCGTCATTATTTCACGTCTCTTAGGGAGACACGGTAAGTCTAATATTAGCGTCATTATTTCACGTCTCTTAGGGAGACACGGTAAGTCTAATATTAGCGTCATTATTTCACGTCTCTTAGGGAGACACGGTAAGTCTAATATTAGCGTCATTATTTCACGTCTCTTAGGGAGACACGGTAAGTCTAATATTAGCGTCATTATTTCACGTCTCTTAGGGAGACACGGTAAGTCTAATATTAGCGTCATTATTTCACGTCTCTTAGGGAGACACGGTAAGTCTAATATTAGCGTCATTATTTCACGTCTCTTAGGGAGACACGGTAAGTCTAATATTAGCGTCATTATTTCACGTCTCTTAGGGAGACACGGTAAGTCTAATATTAGCGTCATTATTTCACGTCTCTTAGGGAGACACGGTAAGTCTAATATTAGCGTCATTATTTCACGTCTCTTAGGGAGACACGGTAAGTCTAATATTAGCGTCATTATTTCACGTCTCTTAGGGAGACACGGTAAGTCTAATATTAGCGTCATTATTTCACGTCTCTTAGGGAGACACGGTAAGTCTAATATTAGCGTCATTATTTCACGTCTCTTAGGGAGACACGGTAAGTCTAATATTAGCGTCATTATTTCACGTCTCTTAGGGAGACACGGTAAGTCTAATATTAGCGTCATTATTTCACGTCTCTTAGGGAGACACGGTAAGTCTAATATTAGCGTCATTATTTCACGTCTCTTAGGGAGACACGGTAAGTCTAATATTAGCGTCATTATTTCACGTCTCTTAGGGAGACACGGTAAGTCTAATATTAGCGTCATTATTTCACGTCTCTTAGGGAGACACGGTAAGTCTAATATTAGCGTCATTATTTCACGTCTCTTAGGGAGACACGGTAAGTCTAATATTAGCGTCATTATTTCACGTCTCTTAGGGAGACACGGTAAGTCTAATATTAGCGTCATTATTTCACGTCTCTTAGGGAGACACGGTAAGTCTAATATTAGCGTCATTATTTCACGTCTCTTAGGGAGACACGGTAAGTCTAATATTAGCGTCATTATTTCACGTCTCTTAGGGAGACACGGTAAGTCTAATATTAGCGTCATTATTTCACGTCTCTTAGGGAGACACGGTAAGTCTAATATTAGCGTCATTATTTCACGTCTCTTAGGGAGACACGGTAAGTCTAATATTAGCGTCATTATTTCACGTCTCTTAGGGAGACACGGTAAGTCTAATATTAGCGTCATTATTTCACGTCTCTTAGGGAGACACGGTAAGTCTAATATTAGCGTCATTATTTCACGTCTCTTAGGGAGACACGGTAAGTCTAATATTAGCGTCATTATTTCACGTCTCTTAGGGAGACACGGTAAGTCTAATATTAGCGTCATTATTTCACGTCTCTTAGGGAGACACGGTAAGTCTAATATTAGCGTCATTATTTCACGTCTCTTAGGGAGACACGGTAAGTCTAATATTAGCGTCATTATTTCACGTCTCTTAGGGAGACACGGTAAGTCTAATATTAGCATCATTATTTCACGTCTCGAATTTCTATCATTTAAGTTTTGCTTTGATTTTTTATGGCTTCGAATATTTTGGCACTGCTTTTCACAGCTAGACTGCTTTGCATGTCAGTTTATCGCTTGGTTTTTTGTTGTTGCTTTGTCGCTGTTATCTAAGTTTTAATTCCTACATAACTCGGCTCAATTTCAATTCTCACAATAAAGACTTAATTTTGCATTTATAGTGCCTCTTAATTTTATTCTGAGTGTGCTTCATAATTACTTTAATCTAATTGCTTTTATAGCACTCTTCTGATCTGCAAGTCCTGTAAATGTAACGCAGTTCTAGATTATATCTATAGCTTCTTTTTTCTGACAACTTTCGAAATCCCATTTTTAAAATGGACAGTGTTATCGATTTCTTAATGAAAACAATAGATTCGTTAACGCAAAGTGAATAAACAAATAAAGATTCGTTACCAGCCGAAAGTACAAGTTCTGATATGCGTGCGATGGTATTATAATCACCTCATTCAAGTTGAGAGATGTGAGATTATGTGAGAAAGAACGAATGAGACCAAGAAGACACAAACTTCCCTTTTATCATGTATGCAGTGTATGGTGAGCGATTTGAAAATATTTTGAATCTGATAAATCTCCGATTGATATGCAGTCTCCTCAATAATCATAGCCATACTTACAGTTAAATAATTCAACTATAAAAAATCAGTTATTGGCAAAGAATGTTTGGCGTTGTTGACTAACAATAGCTATAATTAGAGATTTACAATCTAAGTTTCGTCATTGACTCATCGGTAAATAGAACGTATTGTGATGTAAAAGTTGATATCAACATCAATATTCGTGCCATCGATACTTACAATTAATCAATGCATTCTATTTCATTGTTCTAGACATATCCTATATTTTTGATCTATATGATAACGATACAAATATATAATAGAATTATAATGCCCTAACAATATATTATAATAATCCGCCAGCGCATGCCTTGATTTCAAGTCATGATCTTTCGATATTGTTGGTTGAAGAAATTAAATTCTTCCGACTTTTATTTATATGACAATAACCGGCTGTTAGTATTTAGTTGGTTGGTTGGTGAGTTGTCCGATAACTATAAGTTGTTGCGAACGTGTGATCACCTGAACATGCAGTCCATAGTATTACATGATACACCGGCCAGACCCCTGAGTATGAGTGAAATAAAGCAGCATTCTCATAATAGTAAATTTGGTCCTGGACATCGTCCATCGAAACGAATAGATCTGAGCCATAACCAAAAGTTTAATATGGTACAAAATCACAAGCGAGATCTTCGTGTTGAGTATCTTTTGCAGATGAGCGGTTCTAACGGTAAGTAACGCGTGATATTTAACGCGTGATAAGTGGCGCGTGATAAGTGGCGCGTGATAAGTAAATAAAGCTTAACAGCCTAAAATCCAATTTTAATCAGCAATATTTGTCGCACTGCAGTGAACTATAATAGTCCATTACCATAACCTACTGACAGACGTGTTTAACTCCTGCTTACAGTGCTGAGTGCTATGTAATCCTGAACTACGGTGCTATAATTACGACAATAACTATACTATATGGCTGCATTTTTCTGCGGTATCGGACACCTGTTTTTTAGTTCTAAACTACTCAGAAATATTTCGAAAATAGTTGTCTAAGTGTGTAGTACATTCGTGTTGTTATCGAAATTGAGCTGTGTCCGTGTTATCCTTGGACACATCTTATAATCAGGAATTTGATGAATGATTCGAACAATCCATAATGTTTAACTACTTTGCAATAACTGGTAACTATAAACTGGTAACTATAAACTGGTAACTGGTAACTATAAACTGGTAACTGGTAACTAAACTTGTTTTCCAGAACCAACGTGTGCAAACTCGCCATTTTTTTGAACAACCATACCAAGCTTTTAAACGGTCTAAATTAACTATTAGTAACTGTAAGAAGAAGTATGTTCGATCCTCAACTTTTTCAGCAACAGGACGAAATGCTCGGTTCAATCAATTTAAGAACCGAGCAAGCTTCGTTAAGAAGAATGTAAAGCAGGTCGATAAGCAGGAGGAATGGGGGAGCAAGTCAGAGGTGAATAATCGCTATCAGTTTATCTATTTTATCTGTCACAACTCGTTTATTTTCAATCGTATGATCCTTTTTATTGATTAAATCATGATTTGATAATTGATTAATTGGTTATCTTTTCAGTATATTCTTTCACTGATTGGGTTTGCAGTTGGTATTGGTAACATATGGAGATTTCCTTACCTATGTCAGAAACACGGCGGAGGTAAGTAAACCAATTTATTTAAAATAAAATTTACTAAGCAATAAGTATAAGTAAATTCATCCGATTGTCATCAATGATATGGTTATCGCTGGTGTTGCAGGAACAGCGCTTCATATGGATAATATCTGTTAACATATTATTCCGGAAAAAAAATTTCTTCTTTAACAAATAATACATTTTCTGTTTGCTATGCGATTTCCACATACATTTCTAGGGCTGTAAGCATTCTTGGGGCTAGTTATTTTGGGCGGATGTGCAGTATTATTGTGATACATTAGTACCTTTACTGGTTTGCACTTTGCACATGTAAAGCCCACACTTGCTCAGATAATTGTTCCAATTTGTTCTATGACAGGCTGGCTTAACATTTGCATTATTTGTCGCACCATGTTGGTTTGTAACTTTATACCTATCTAGCTGATCATTTTTATTTCGCATGTACATTGTAAACTGTACGTACGTTAATATTGCAGTTTCGTGTTTCTTCTTAATATTATGCATATTACATCCTGAATCCTGATTCCTGTGTAATATATTGTAGTTTTAAAGTATCAGCTGGTTCGGACACACTGCTGTCTGCAATCCTTTTGCATTTTTTACTTTGTTTAAAAAGTTTAAAAGTAGCTCAAGAGTGGCTCTCGGAAGATTTAAAGCACAATCGATTTCACAAGGTTTTAAAAACAATGGACTCCACTCTAGCAATGAACCGGAAAAAGGCTGCATCAGCAGCTAAGAAGAAGGAAGCAGTGGAACTGAAAAAGGAACAAGAACAGCTAATGGAGGACGCCACAACCACGCTTAGCCAATACTTCATGTTTGCAGTGGGAATGGTTATCATTATCTACATCGGATTCTGCTACCAAGAAATGGCTAAAGACATCGAGCGAACCTTTTTCAGCTTACCTGATCAATGTGGCGAGAAGGAAATAAAACAAAACTCTTCCAACTACGAATACGGGTTAGATAGTTTGGTAATGTTGGGAGATGTGCAAGTTCCCAAGGCTGTTGCACAAGAAAGTAATGACTATGAGGAACCTGAAAGTTGGATACTTAACGGTGACACAATAACAAAAGTAGGAGGAAACTACTGGTATGTAGCTGTAGATACCGATATGTCAGGTATTTCAGGGGGTATGTTGAGGAACTGGTTTGAAACTGTTAATTGTTCAGATATGTATAAGTGGTGGCATCCAAAGGATCATGAATATGGTGTTTGGTTGGATCATGACACCTACGAAGCAAGCAGCTCCCTTGTTGGCAGACAGGGTAAGATTCACAGGGTTAAAGAGAGAGTTGGAGACAAAATGAACAAGCTAGATATATTCTTCCACGATCCGTGTGTTGGGAAAGATTGTGACGTCCTAAAAACACAGGGTGTAGAACTGATCCTATCCGGAAAAGTCCACGCTCATCTGACTCCCATAGGACGAGTCTACGCTGGGTTCTTTATCCACACACTCAGAGTAGATGACACAGGAAGCACTCTCCACTCACGCTTCACTATGGGCAAGGACGTGCACTGCCTGGATAGTCCCAACTCTTGGGGGTGCTTCTTTCTTGACACTTTTCAGTGGCTTGTTAAGAAGATTATGTTATCAGATAAGAACGCTGCGAGCATTTTCATTCATTGTCGGGAAGAGATGTTTACTTTGGGTAGGCTACTGGCTAAATTGAATAACGTTGCTGCTAGGGGATGAGCTAAATTCCTGTTCTGTGTTTATGAAATTGTACGGAATTTGATGAAAGTTTTGATTATGTGTTTATTGATGGATGAACTGAAATTAAAAAATTTTATGTTACCCTACTCGATTTACTTTATAAGGGAAGCAAATTGGTATTATTTTCTGCCAAATATACATACATGAATTCAACATTGAGTCAAGAATCAAAATTATTTTCAAGTTGATCCATCAAACCAAACAGATGTTTATCTAACCCTTTTCTGTTTTCGAGGAGCTAATTAAAATATCAATTAACTTGTCGCGACATTGTCTATTGAGATAACTATTTTCTATTTAATTTGATAAAATAGTCTTTATTCATTTCGATTGTTACCAAATTTTTATTGTACGAACAGAATATTCGAAATTTCAAGGTACGATTGTCGATTCATGAACGACAAAAAATATGGTCTTGACATATTTTAAGCTATAAAACCGGAAAACGGATATATGGTAAATTAAAAAGGTTCTTGCGTGATGGCAGTTCGGCTAATATTTTCATCAGAGGGTCAATAACTTGAATTATAAAACTGAACTTTCAATTAACTTAAAAACTCCTCCCTCTAATTTGACCAGGTGCGTTCCTGTTCGCGTACGTGGTGATGGTGATTATTGAGGGTCTGCCACTCTTTTGTCTAGAACTTCACATCGGTAATCACTTTAAGAAGAGTGTTAGTGGTAGTATGAGGGTGAGTGACTTCAAATGTGAAAATTATTAGTAATTATTAGTAACTATTAGTGATCATTATTATAATTCATAAATTGCTTTAGTTTAATCGATAATATTATAATTCATAAATTGCTTTAGTTTAATCGATAATATTATAATTCATAAATTGCTTTAGTTTAATTGCTATAGTATAAAACTTGAAGCTGAACTTTCCATTTGAACTTTGATTTATTTGTTCTATAATTCATAAATTAGATTATCAACAATATGATATTCTATGAACAAAATTAATAGTAATCGATCAAATGTCGTAGCTTAAATATGTCGTTGAGAATTGCCTGATCGCACCACTTTAGATTTCATCCCTGAATCAGTAAGTCAGTACGAAAAGGGAACCAATTTTGACAACTGACAACTGCTGTATGTCGTACAGGAATCGTTTATATACGTACTTGGTTTTCATTGGTCACTGCTGCAACCAGTCAGCAAATCTCGGTCACCAAGACCGATACAGTTCGCTAGCTCCCAGAAGTAGTCATAATATCCATTAACCAGCAAATAAATCCGCCTTATTCAAAGATCAGCACTAACATTAACAATGTTTTCAGCACATCAAGAAGGGGTTGGTTGGAGTGGGCTGGTGTACTATCACAGTGTGTTTCCTGTGTGCTGTTTACTACAACTCTATTATCATGTGGATTATAAGGTGAGAACATGTTTAGATTATTGTGGAATGAAGTTGTCAAAATGGCAATGCATTTCACATATTCAGTGCAGAGACAGTAACTACTACTAGAATAAACCTCGAATAAAGATCATTATAACTGATCGGCGATGATAAAGTAGGAACTGATAAGAAGTTCAATTTTCTCAATTAAAAATAACTTTGCAGGTACTTTTTGTAAAGATAAGGAGTTGCTAACCTAAAAATAACTTGTCAGATACTTGTTCGAGTCCTTCGTGAATCCCTTACCTTGGTCAGAGTGTAAGACGGATCATATCTGCTGTCTGGAAGACAAGACTCAATACTACTGGTATGGATACTTGTGGCATAGTGAAGTGCTTTAAACTTAACATAAGTGTTTAAATTTAAAGTTTTACTCAGCAAATAAAGTCAAATAACTTGAACAAACATTAAGTTTATTGTCAGTTAAATAAAATTGGATCTCTTATATATTTACTTACTTCACACTTAATTAATTAACTGCTAAATTACTCAATTCAATCTAATTAGGTATTACGAACACTTGCGGCTGTCTCCTGATATCCGTGAACTGGGTTCCTTCAACCCAACTTTAGTGGTCTGTTTGATCATCTCCTGGGTCACCATCTTCATCTGTATTTCTAGAGGAATCAAGAGCTCTGGAAAGGTAATATAACACGTAATAATTACTAATCCACTAATTGTACTAATTAATTTCTGTTTTGCAACATTGAACATGGAATTAGCATATTTGACTGAGAGCCAAAAACAACGAGAATTAGTGTGGTATTAAAATGTTATTCGTGAAGTTGAATACCTATTTCAGATACTTAATTTTCATTTATTTAATTGGACGCGATTATTAACAAGGAATGGGGCCTATATAATGCGTCTCTCGATGTTTATAAGAATTCATTCGTTAAGATGATAAAGGGAATCGGAAATGAAGGGGAACTTAAAGATGAACGGTTAAAACGGCTACGTAGGTTTGTAAGTATGCCAGCATCAGCCAAGAATGACATAGATTTGTCATGAGCGAGATAAATATGAATATGTAAAAGTGATCAGAAAGATAAAGGTGAATCCAAGTAGGGAGTGGAAACTGGAAAGTTCCAAAAGCAACCCACTCTAAATGATCACTATGGTTCTTCGAATGATTCTTCGAATGATTCTTTAAATGATCCTTCTTAAATCTTGATCTAAAGAGCTCTCTCATCTTTTCTGTAGCGATATTGTATGCTTACCTGAATAATCATGTTGGATGAGCGATTAGTTTAAATTCCTATTGAATATCTTATTAATCTTGAATAGATCAATTCACACCGATCGGATCTATAATAAAATTGCAGCTGTATGCCCTCAATTTCGTCTTACAATAAAATATATTTCACACTATTGTTAGTTTTGTACAGGCGAGATAAGCTAGAAACCTATGTCTCCTCAGGTGGTATATTTCTCAGCAACAGCCCCGTATGTGGTACTGATAATCCTTCTGTTCCGCGGGGCCACCCTGGATGGAGCAAAGGATGGTATCATGTACTTCCTCAAGCCGGATGTAAGTTACTCTTCCCTTGTTGTATCCCGTCTCTATGCTGTATAAATCATAAAACATGATGTTAATGCAGAGTAGAACCGTATGGAACTTCGTAATTTCTGTCCCTTGTTTATAAGGTGTCTTTATAGCTGTATATAACAATGATATTCACATTTCACCGCCTCACTAAAATGCTCATAGGCAAAAAAGCTGTTAGACCTAAGTCTATGGTCGGATGCAGCCTCGCAGATATTCTACTCTCTTGGTATTGGGTTTGGTGCTATCGTGTCATTCGCCTCCTTTACCAAAAACTGCGACAACGTCATCAGAGACAGGTTAGATAACAGTTCACGTCATTATCATAACTCATAAGCTATTATAGAGATACAAATTTAATGGCACAATTTTGCTTCCATGTAATACAATATTCAAGGATATTTGCTCAGAATTCAGCGTAATTATTATTCATGAGTTATCATATTAATTACTATGAATATTAATTTAAAAATTTTAAGTAAAAAGTAAAAGTCCGAATAATAATAGTACAACCACCACGAAAAGTCATGGTGACGAAAAATTCAAAGTTAGAAATTGAGAGGCAGCAGTTATATATATACTCGTATATAGTGTAAGCCAATCATCTCAGAACATGGACAAAAGGATTTCGCGATTATTTTGGCCAAAAATCGCGATACCGCGATTTTTAACAGGCTATACATTAAACTATACATAAAATTTGTCGCAAATAATGGGAAAATCGTGATTCCGTACACGCCGCGATTTCCTTTTGTCCGTGTCTCAGAACTGCATGAGCCAACACCCAACATCTGATGTGCGAACTGCGAATTTAACAACGAGGTCTGATCCTCACCTCGTTACATGTTCGATGTCTGTGTGAAGGTAAAATGGTGAAATCTTCTGGATCAGGCAGAGGTGGAGTGTTGCTCTACCACTTTGACTTATGTCCCTTAAGCGCTTTCAACTACCGTTCACCGAGCTTTGACTGCGGCTTTGCTAACAAGGTTTGGCCGGTGGACTGTGGAGGGTCCACAGTAGTCCCATTACCTTAGTGATGTGCGAATTAAATAAAATGTGAATTTATTCCAGCATCATCATCACGGTGGTAAACTGCTCTACATCAATATTGGGAGGGTTTGTCATCTTCAGCATTGTAGGCTACCGAAAACACATGACAGGTGCAGACTTTGATCAGGTAAATGAAAGAGGTTAATTGATTGGTTAATTAGTTAATTGATTGGTTAATTAGTTAATGGATTAAATGATAAGCTTTATAAATTTGCAGTTATATTTAATTAAAGGAAATATGATCAGTGCCAAAATTCTCGTAATTTTTTTGATATATATAAATTTCCATTGCACGTAACCTCTGGTAGCTCAGTTGGCAGAGCGGAGGACTGTAATGGTATCCCCAAAGTAATCCTTAGGTCACCAGTTCAAATCTGGTTCGGAGGATATTTTGATGATTTTGATTAGTAAAACGTATCTATTTTTAGCTCTTACACATATTACATGTTTTCAGCTTGGCTCAGGGCCAGGTTTGGCATTTGTAGCGATAGCTGAAGCAGTGGCCAACATGCACATCTCGCCTTTGTGGGCCGTCTTGTTTTACAGGTGAAAGTATTATTTTTTATTGACAGGGTGATTCAAATCAATATTATCCATAATGAATTGCGTAATCAATTAATATATAACTGATTATGTAATTGATATGCCAATTAACTAATTATGTAATCAGTATGTTGCTGCTACTTGGATTGGACAGTTTGTTCGGCTTGATGGAGAGTATGTTGCATCAACTCAGAGAAGAAATCCCCGTTTTGAAGAGGATTAAGAAACACGGTGTCAACGGTTAGTTCAGGTTCTTTTCACTGCTATTACTGATACTACTATCATAATTAGTTTTAACTCTAAATATCGAAAACTCATGTACAATGTATTATAGTATTATGTATATTGTATAATGTACACATATCCTTATACTATATACATTATACATTATACATCGGTCAGGGATATACAATATATCACGAATACACCCTCCATTACTTTCAGCATGTGTGTGTTTCCTTATGTTCCTCCTGGCCCTGCCTACAGCTACTAACGGTGGACAGTACATTGTTAACCTGATGGACACCTGGGCGGTCTCCATCCCCCTGTTGTTCGTTGCTTTGGGAGAGATAGTCTCCATTGTATGGTTCTACGGTATACACAGGTTAGATTAAACCCTGTAAATAGTGGAACACTTTATGTTATTTTAGCATCCGCTAAAAATTTTTTCGGTGGTCTAATGGCTAAATATCCTGATGATCTGAGTTCAATTCTCACTGCTGTACCTTACACTTCCTTCTAACTGCCCTGCAGGTTCACGAGAGAAGTGAAAGAGAAGACAGGGTACCAGATAGGATGGTACTGGCAGATATGTTGGGTGGTGCTGTCTCCCTTGGTCCTGCTCATCCTCATCGGCTTCTCGCTATTCTCCTACTTTGGGGACATGTCTTACAGTCAGTTTATTGGCTGTGCGGGGATTAATAGTGGACTGGTACGTCCTTTGGTAGATTTTTTCTAGAGTTTTATACTCACGGCCACATACTAGCTAGCCAACTGCCACGACTCTTGCTTCTATGTTACACTACGTTTTGATAAGAAGTAGAAAGTGCCAATATTTACTGCAATTATAATTAAATTTTTGAATGAATAACCTTGAAGTTAAATTCTAACCAGAAAATGAATGTTGATAGAATTACCCAACGGGCACTTTGAATGATAAATTGCATTTACATGACAACCATTTACAGGCAAGTGAAAACGGCTCAATGTTAGAGACAAATAACGGCTCAGCTGATTATAATTTAACTGGAAACATGACCAACTTTAACTATGGTATAGACTACAAAGAGTGGCAAGTCAGTTCTAAACTGCCAACGGAGGGTATCGTAGCTGCTCTCTTTTTTCTTCTGACGTGAGTTTTTTCTTCTTTTTGATTCCTTTTTCTCCCTTTTCTCCCTTCAAGTGTATAAATGGAATGAGTTTATTCTCCTTCAAATATAAAATGTGTCTCCGTTTAACAAGTTGTTCCTCCTCGTGTGAGTTATACATCTTCCTAAAGTTTACTGACATTATTTCTTCTCCAAACATTGTTTCCACTTTTAACACAAATCCCCCCACAGACCACTGCTAACCCTCCCCCTGGGAGCTCTCTACGGTCACATATATCCCAACACTACAAATGAGGAACAGGTCCAAGCTAACTTGGAATCCTGCCCGGAGGAGAACGAGGTACTCTAAACAATTCTGAGAAAACTTTGAGGTACTCTATAAAAGAATCTGAAGAATTACAGCCCTACTTGCTACTGATCCAGGACCCTGATCAGTGATCACGCCCTTATAGCAATACAACACTTACTACAGAGTGTCAACTCTCTTCACAGCAGTCAAATCCACCATGACGTAATCAGATGTCATTTTAAGGACTATTATAATTTATAATTGATATCTTTGTAGATGTCGGACACGACCAAGTTATTCAGCATTATAATAAACATTCCGTGACCCTACCTTTAATGCAATATGCAGTCGGCAACGATTAAGACGATCAAATGGTTTATAATTTCTATTTTGAGCTGAGACATATCAATTTTTGGGACTATTATACTTATAGCGTTAATGGTACGCCGAATGGATGTCACAACTTTTATGAATGCACATATTTATGTATGCAGTTATTCAATGAATAATTCATTATTAAGTCCCATACTTGTAAAATTATTGGCCCGATTCGACAGTACCAATCACGCGTTTAACGCGTGAGACATCGCCAAGCGTGATGAATTTAGCCACCGCGCTAACGCGCTCACGCGTGGAGTCGGCCCTAAACTTGAAACCAACGGAAAAAAGTTAGGGTGCACGTCTTGTATTTGTAAGATTATGTACATTAGATATATTTGATGTTATTTTAAGCTAATATTTTTATGAAAAAGTGACTGTGATTCTGAGTTTTGGCCGATCAATATTGGACGCTAATTGGTTAATCGCCATGTCACGTGTCAAAAAATATGCCTCACCTCCGCACCAGAATCCATATCTATAAAGTTAAGCGGCTACTACATACTAGTACTACTGTCTACTAGTACTACTGGTACTAGCTATAAATGCTTAAAATTGAAATGGAATTACACCAAAAGTCGAAATTCATTAGCCAGCTTTTTATTTTTATAGTTATAGTATTAGTAAGCATTTACCTCAACTTCAAGATCCCAGGCTTCCGCTTATTGTTCATAATTAAAAATGACAAGATGGCGTAATGACAGCGGCTGAGCGCCGCCCTGTTAACGCCGGCCTGTTAATATTGAACATGTGATGTGGGTTAATTATAGGTAGTGCGCCATCGACAGTGTGAGTGAGCCGCGCGTGCCGACTGTAGGATGGTTTTTAGCGCTAATTTCGTTAAATAGTGCAAAACTTGCTTCCTCGGTCTATTTAAAAAATCCTATCTATATATCTACCAAGTAATACACCATACTTAACTTCAAAATTATATATATATAGGTATACTGCACCATGTTCACTAAATTCGTGGCCGTAGCAAATTAGTTTAACTGCTGCAATAATGAGCAGTCTAAACGATTTTTGCAGCAAATTGTTTATCTAGAGACAGCTCAAGCTATAAGTGGAAAAAGATCCTGCGACGAATTGTAGTTATAAAAACTTATTTGTAAATTTGAAATGTTAATGGTTCCTAATCCTACTTCTTTAGTTGTTCCCAAATCGTGTGAATTGATTCTTAAATGTCGGCGCTATATAATACTCCTACTCCTAGTACATAGTATTTTCCGCGGTGCTACAAGCGAGCATGCAACTGCAAATTACTTGAATATGTTGAACCGCGACCGACACGTTCTTGGATGTCTGACAATTACCGTTTAAACAACTATATATATCAAATATTGTAGTTTATTACTATATTAGCTTTTAGTCTTATTCGGTTACATGACTTTGTCAATGACAGAGTACGTTAATGTTACACTTAATTATACATTAACATAGCTAAATAAATGTTTCTTGTCATCTGCACCTTGTGTCGTAATTATTTAAGAAATAAATAAATAAAAGCTAATTAAATTAGCTTTTACTTATTTATTTCTTAAATTTAAAATTTATTTTTTCGATCATCACGATTCACGAACATGCGGCGGCTTTGGTCTAGGAAACCCAGGAAAGCTTATATATAAAGCATATACATATATGAAAATAGGACAGCAAATGGAGCCATGTTTGTAGTTTGGCCATATTCTATTTTTTGAAGCTTTCAATTTCTCTCGATATCTTACTTCCACTTCCAGTACCTTCCAATGTCTTGTGCCAACTTCAGTTGCAGTAAATTTGACACGTTGCAACCCCGGGCGGAGTGCACGCTTCGCGTGCACGAGAGAGGTATACAATTACGTGTAGTAACCTGCAACAGTAAATGCGTTCAATACCCGAATCTGATATATAATCGTTATGGAAATACTAATTACTATTTAAATCCAAATTGTTTAGTCATCCAAATCGTTTAATAAACCCGATTGAAGTATGGGGAAATTATTCAACCAAAGGTGAGACACCATGACCAGACAGTAAATACTTATATTAAGAACATTGCACTTTCCAATCTCCGTGTCCAATAGCTGCAGTATAAATTGATCGAATTTTGTTGATATAGAGCAGCTTGCCACTTAGGTCCAGGATCATTATAAAACATAACGCCGGACTTCTAGGCAGTGTGCTTGGTTGTGGGACACACTCAACTAGGAAAGGTTGAGAAACCTGAAAACTCCCTAAAGAGATATCAACAGAGTGTGGGCTGACTGACTAACCTGTGATTAGAGTTTGCCCGACTCTATGTGCTATGATTGTGGCAGACAGTATCTTCTGAGTTGTTGAGATTCAGAGTATCCTTTGTCGGTGGTGCTGGTTACAAGCTCTTGTTGTATGTGGTAGAAAGATGATTACTGAGACCAAACTCATTTACATGAAGGATAAGAAATAATGAGGTTATGCAAGTGGAAGCTATAAGTATAGGGCAGGTAATGATTAGATGAGTAATAATTATATATAATATAAAAAAGATTAATATAGTTATACAGTAAACCACTTTTAATAACCATTCGAAATTTCTTGTCGAGATCATTTTCCAATATAAATTTAAGATAATGTAACTCCCTCCCCCCCCCCCTGGGCTGATTACGTAATACGTGAATTAATTGACGATGTCAATTCATGGCAGCTCGGCGCGGCACATGACAGTAGCGCATTTCGCCGATCTATAGCCAGAGAAGCCTTATTAAGTGCGCGGCGCGGCACAGTAACGCATCGCGCTACAATACGCGAACAACCCCTTATAGAGTATTAGCGCTTTATTATTATATGGTATCAGAAATATCTATTTTTTGATTTTGACCGATTTTGACCGAATTTGCCAATGGAATGGGTATCGCGATGGGGATGCCTCTTGATCCCCCCTCTAAAGGCGTGTCTAAAGGAGTGCGTGCGTCATATTTGCAAAACGATCCCTATGTTCTAGACATTTATCTTTCCAGTTCCTCGATGTCAGATTATCAGAAAAGCCAGACTGTGTGTGGGCGTCATGCGGAGGAACCGTTGATCCTACAAGCACTGTTGTTGAAATCTAAATATAACAACCTAAACATGATTATAAAATTAAAACCAATCGCCGGTCCTTCATGTAATAATCAGTTACCATGAACAGTGACACCTATCATCCTTATTAGGTGATCATATTGAGTACCGGCTAAATTCATGATGCGTATTTATCGCTCACCGTTATAAAGCTTTTAATATTAAATACAGTTAGTATATCTGTTTAGCTACAATACTATTTATTACTTCCCCGGCCATTTAAATGGTGCAAATGTGCAATATCGATTAGTTCCCATATTTTTTGTTCTGCCTATTTTGCCCTCTCAGACACTGGACAGCTTTTTGCTCTTTTAATTTGAATATTAATTCAACCAATCGTTTATATGTATAGCAATGGTAGTCAATTCGGTGCTACAGTCATACACGTAAATTGTTCACTAGTACTAATTAGTAGTACAAATGTGGAAAATCCGCGTGAATTTGTATACAATATGTTTTTGACCGAAATTTTCAGTAGATCAATCCCGAAGGCATTTTTATAAGGTAGCAACAAATAAATTTAGTCGCTTTGACTATACAAACTTTATCCAGCAGACTACAAGCTCTCACAATTTTTTAAATTAATTAGCCATATCGCAAACATTTTTTCCCGTTCGTTCTAAGGAAATCTCTTTCAAGGGAAATACTTTTAATTTAATGATCGAAGATTGTAGTGTTGTAGGAATGATGAGTCACGTACAAAATCACGAAAAGGTTTGCAGAAAATAAGATTTAAAAATAGTGGAATAATTTTATGATATAAACATTGTTTACTAAAATGTCGACTATGTCTTATACCCAAATATTTCAATTCTTCTAGTTCTAGTTCTACACATATGACATACACATCAAGTTTCAATAAAACTCATTGCTATACCTTTGCGGGAAAAAAAGTGAGCCATGTGTCAGGAATCATTTTGAAATACATTGACATGTGCAATAAAAGAATGTATGCAAATATGTTTCATTAATAAACAGGGGATTCTTGCCATTAAAATGAGAAATATTTGTCATTAACGCGGAAGAATATTGGTCATTTAGAGAGGAAAAGGGTGAACCTTTTAATAAACCTGTCAGAATGTAGCAGCAGTTATATTTTCCTCTTGGCTCATTTTACCTGACGCTTTGGCGAAACGGCATGATCGCCATTTTGACGTCATTCACGCCAATACTTGTATAAATCAGTCGCCAAACTTTGTCATAAAATTCCAAATTCGATCGATCGTAATATCAGTAACCTAGTTCAAAATACTGCTGAAATAATGGCAGTTGGCTAGACGTGCACTTTGCGACAGTTTCCAATGCGTATTTCTTGTTCAAAGCGTATCTTTTCTTTATTTATATATTAAAACTTCCGTATCAATTTGCTTTAAATGACATGACAGCTATAATTATAGTCCACTTAATATTACGAGTCAAGTATTTTATTATTAAAATACTTGATCTGGAGTGTTCAGAGCAGCCGCAAGGCGCAAACACCGTATTAATAATGGTTAGTGGACTATAATAGATGTCATTTAATTTTTAAAGCAAATCAATACGTATTAAGGTCTAGCTTCACGGCCCCGCGATGATGTCATGACACCAAATTATCCTCCAATATAAAGCGAGGATCTGACAGCTTCTTATTGGTATATTGGCGAGATGAACCCCATATTTATTTGGAATAATGTACAGGTTAAGCTTCAGTACCATTTTATAATGCATTACGCCCTTACCCAGTCAACTGTGATATCTATCTATTTAATTTTTAATGAATTGCTCAGATTTGCGATCAAATTAGTGGCTTGGAAAAGAAAAATATAGAAATTTTGTATTTAAATATTCAAAATCTTTAATGTGCACCTTCGATGTGCATTGTATTCAAAATATAATCTATTTTGGAGGTGCAGTGTGCACATTTAAGATTTTGAGATTCGATTTAGAATTAAAATTGCTCCGAGCGTCCACTGATGACTGTAAGTAAGCAATGATGAAATTTCAGAAATAAACCTGAAAATAA